GGGCTACACACCCCTTAATTCGAACTAGTAAGTTCGAACTAGGCTTAGTCCTCGTAAAATGAGGTTTTCCTAGTTCGAACTAAGCGCTCCGCTAGTTCGATTTAAATTCGAACTAGCGGAGCGCTAGTGTAGCGCCTATGAATGTTAGTTTGAACTAACATCCATTAGTTCGAACTAACATTGTAGTGTAGACATACCCTCTGAGAGCTTGGGATTCTTCCGTCCCAAGTGCAGGACTCTGCACTTGCCCTTGTCAGACTTCTTTTGGCCGAATCCTCCAATTTGTCTTTGTCTCTTTACACCCTATTTCTGCCCTCCAGCGTATCTTCCTCTCTCTAGCTTAGTAAAAAGTTTTAAATGTCTTGCAGTACCTTAGGGTATGTCTACACTAGCCCCCTAGTTCAAACTACGGTGGCTAATGTAGGCATTCGGAGTTGCAAATGAAGCCCGGGATTTAAATATCCCGAGCTTCATGTGCATTATCCCGGGCGCTGCCATTTTTAAATGTCCCTTAGTCTGAACTCCGTGCCCACGGCTACACGCGGCACGGAGTAGGTAGTTCGAATTAGGATCTCTAATTTGAACTACCATTACTCCTCGTAGAACAAGGTGTACCGGTAGTTCGAATTAGAGATCCTAATTTGAACTACCTACTCCGTGCCGCATGTAGCCACGCGCACGGAGTTCGGACTAAGGGACATTTAAAAATGACGGTGCCCGGGAAGATGCAAATGAAGCCCGGGATATTTAAATCCCGGGCTTCATTTGCAACTTCGGATGCCTACATTAGCCTCCCTAGTTCGAACTAGGGGGCTAGTGTAGACATACCCATAGAGACTAACAAAAATATAGTTGATATCATGAGTTTTTCTGGGCATAACCCACCATGAAAGCTCATGATACCAACTACATTTTTGTTAGTCTCTAAGGTGTGGCAAGACTAGTTGTTAAGCTTTTCCAGTTACAGACTAAAACGGCTACTCCTCTGAAACCTCTAGCTCACTGTCATCCATTAACTTGCTGAGTGTGCAATCCATCCCCTTATCCTGGTCATTAATAAAGATGTTGAACAAAACTGGCCCTAGAACCAACCCTTGGGCAATCTGCTTGATTCCAACCACCAACCAGACATTGAGCCATT